GACCAATGTACATGACTGTCAACTCCATAGCTGACCTCTCTTCATGCATCAGGTACCTATCTCGTCACCCTCAATTAGACCTTGATTACCCCACTCGCCTCCTTCCCTCAAGACCACCAGATCACCCACTGTACCCCCTGGCACCAGCAACCCGTCTATGACCGCCTGCACCCCGCTGCCCTGCAGCACCCCACTTCACCACTACGCGCCCCGTCAGCGCCCTTAACAGCAGCGCAGCATCAAGCGATAGCACAGCAACACTTCCGCATTGCCTGCACTGGCCCGCCCCCCTTGGCCTGGACTGCCCTACTCCTTTTGTGGAAGTGACAGCCTCCTGGATGCTGCGTGTGGCCTGGCTGGAAGTTTCCAGTAGCTTCCGGTTGGGCCTCGGACCCTGCGCCCAGGCCAGAGACCACAGTTGAGGGCCTGGGCCCATTTCCGCCATTCGGGCCCAACGTGGACAAAAAAAAAAAATCAAAACTAAAAACAAACAATTCAAAAAACTCCTAGGCTACCAACCGGGCCGCCCTGGTCCCGGGTCGGAAGCCCATGCAAGGACCAGGGAAGGTCCCCGCAAAAAAAAAAAAAAAAAAAAGGAAAACAAAAAATCCGAAAAACAAACTATGTTATGCAGCAAAATAAACTGAACAACTTTTGCCTCAGGGTCACATGTTATGGAGCAAAATAAACTGAACAACTTTTGCCTCAGGGTCACATCGAAATTCTTCATCAAATTCTGAATAAAAGATAAAAATAAAAAATATTATTTAATATTTATTTTTTTAATGTTTTTTTGCCCGGCCGGTCAAGTGACCCCGGGCCACTCTGGTAGCCTAGAAAAACTCTGAAAAAAAAATGTTCTGAAGAAAAATAAAATAAACGACATTTGCCTGAGCGTTACATCCAAATTCCTTACCAAATTTGAAATAAAAATAAAATACACAAAAAAAAAACTAATAACTAGGCTACCAGCCGGGCCGCCCGGGTCCCAGGTTGCCGGCCCGTGCAAGGACAAGGGAAGGTCCCAGCAAAAAAAAAAAAAAAAAAAAAAAAAAAAA